GGACAGAAGGGGAGATACCACAACTGTTTAGCACACGTTTGGTCAAAGGATCGGCTTCACTTGTCTCTTTTGCGAGATTCACTGATGATGCCGAGTACGATGTCGGCGAAACGTCTGGGAATGTACCACGTCTACAAACCTACTCTGGAAATCATGATGCATACAATGGACTCCGGACTAGGTGTGTTCCTCTAAGTCTTCCTACCAATATGACCAAGTTGCGAAGACAAGGTCAAACAACCCCTGAACAACGAAAGGAGACTGCGACAACACAAAAGGCCACACTATCTTGGTCTCCATATGTTCGATTAAAGGAGAAATGCCCTTGATAAATCTCGTGGTTATGCCTTTATTCATAGACCATGTCTATGCTCAAACCCGTGCACGATGGATCAACGTCGCTGGTCTCAGCCGCATCTCTCAAGTAGAGTTCTACCAATAACGACAAATATATAAATATCCTAGCCTCTAGTCCTTTGTGTGTAAACCGCCCAAACGTTATAGAGATTTACTTCGCTTTACCACGATTACTGTAGACGTCTTCTCTTGATTTACGATTGTTCCTCGAGAGCATTTCCAGTGGGATCCCTTTTCTTCCCGTTTCAATTACTTCCCCGATCTTTCTGTTACCTGATATTCTATAACTTTGCTTAAGAAATACGCAAAGTTTTCATTTATTCTGACCTAAATTATCCGGTTAGGACATCGAAGGCCTATGAGAACTATTGTTTCTTTGTATTTTCACCATATACGGCCAGTCCTTATTTTGCCTTCCGTATCTATGTTAATGTGAAATCTTTAATATTCCTTGATTCATGTCACTGTTTCACTAATACACTTATCCTCACAGTTGCTGCGTCTTTGTGATAAACTCCCAAGTAGTCCAGTTAGTCCATCCTCTCGCATTACATAGACAAGCTAGTGAAGAGTGTTGTCTTCTCTTTCGTGATCACCTGGCTATTCTATGTTGCTGATGAAGGTCGCAATTTTTTAATAGGTTCACAAAAGACCAGGTATATCAACTTTTGTTTGTATTTCTCATTCCTGATTCTCTTTCCATAATATATATGCTGTCCGCTGATATTTACAAACACCATACTTCTATTCATGACTTCTCTGGTATACCCGTTTCTATGGGAAATCCGAGTCAATCTGTTTATTCCCTCTTATCAAAACTACATGTCCGTTGGTCTTATGCTTCCGACTATCGAACTCGGCATTATTCAGATGGCTAGTCTGAATTGTGATAAGATAATAAAATTGAGGATTATTCCAGCACGTGATCTCTTTCTGAGTAGTCGCCTCTTAGATGTCCCGTTGGAGTGCTTAATCTCGACATCCAGGATATAGTATGATAAGAATAAGCCTAGCAAAAGACAATGGGCGTTCACCTAGGCCTCCGACAACCCGGATGAGTTGCGAAGACCAGCTCAAAGCACTTAGGTACAACGAAAGAGGAACGTGACGAGTACAAAGGTCACACCATCTTGGTCTTCATACCATCGACTGAACTCTTAGAGGCTATGGTCTGTCAGCGTAGGCAGAGACAGTTAAATCTCGATTGAACCAGAAGCTAATTTGTCACAGAACACTGGCTTAAGTGAGCGTGTGAGCATTCATTGTCTCGATAAACTTAGAATTCGAGCCGACTAGCACAGCCAAAGGTGCCTCAAATCAGGACTATATACTCCCAAAATCCGTGCATGTATGCCTACTACTGATGCTGAATTCGTCAATGCATAGAATGATCACACTCATATTACAGGCTATGCTGATTCCTTCATTATTGGAAAAAATTAAAGCTGGATAACTTAAAATCCCGGTAATAATTTCAGAAGATTGACTAGATTATAAAAGTATATCGAATGAACTAGGCATAAACCCTTTTATATGAAATTCATATGCAATTAGAGGAAATAAATAAAGCATAAAAATAGATCAAGAGTGGACAGCATGAGGCAAGGAAGTCAAGCTTAGGACAGCTTGAATCAAACTCACTCTGTTATAAAAAGTACAGAAGAGCCCCAGTTCCTGGCGCTTATAAGTTCTCTCAAGTATAGAGCCGAAGCATTCGATACCTCTATGAATCGAGCCTGCTGCTCGGCGATCTTCAATGTCTCCAGCATATCTTTGTTATCCAAATGGTTTAAACCAGATTTCGCAAATGCAGCTTTGCGCGAGGCGTTGGCATGAGCAAATAGAGTATAGGCTTCTTCCTCAAGTTCCGAAGAAAGACGAAGGTCGTCAACAACGTGAAGATCATCCTAAAATTTCAGTACCCATTTGAAAAATACATTTTTAACATTGTTAACCGCGACCACACAAAATGTCACACCATCTTGGTCTTCATACCTTCAATTTAACATTGTAAACCCATTTAGACTATTTGATAGCAAAGTTAATTATGGCTGAGGTTGAACTATGGGAAGCAAGCCCTAGTAACAAGATTTATTGAAGTTCAACACGCAACACCACCCCGAGCATGACTCATCTGAACTGTACCGTAGAGACAAAGCGAACCTGTTGAACCAATTAGCAGATGGTAGTACAAATACACAAGAGTATTTTATGCCGAAAATGCCTTGAACTGGGGACTCTGTTCCATCGCTCCCTTTGTGCTGTTGTGACTGTGAACACTGAACCGGCACTACATTGCCATCGTTTTTGCCTCCCCACTTCGAATTCTTGTCTGTAATGTTTCTTATTTTATACAAACTACTTTATGATTCATTTTCTTGTTTCTCTATGATAGGCTGGGGTTTTCTATGCTGTAGCGTGACATTTAGATCACTAAACAATCTTAACAAACCAATCGACATAATGAAAAGACCTATATCTGGTCTATTTATCTCTCAATTCACGAGTTATTTCCACCCGCCTTTTCAGGGAAAAGGAACAAATTATCATTTACCCTGTATTCCCTAAGCCATAATCAACTTAGGGCATGCATCTAAAGATGGACTCAGGATAGCAGTAGTATAGCAGGAGCTGTGACGTCAGTCTCATGTCATTGAAAAGTACTTCCAAGTAAAGCAAATTTGAAGGGCATGCAGTGGCAAAATAATAAAAAATTCCAATACATACCAAGAAGCGAAAGAAACCCTATCCAATATATAGAACATTTTTTCGCGACTTGGTCATATGGACACATTGTCCAGAGTCTCTAGTAACCATCATAATGTTTAGACACTGATCGCGGAATTGGTACATTCCTAGATGCTTCGCCGGCAACGTCACTGAACCTTACCATCACGCTACCACTCATAGAAGATACAAGTGAAGTCGATCCTTTGATCAATTGTCCACTAAACGGTTGTGGTATCGCTCCTGTCCCGGTGTATTCACCTATACAATATCCTCGTAACACCCTTTCATTATTACAATTTTTACTTGTTTATCTAAACCTAGTTGAAGTCTGCCCCTTTGAGCGGATTCTTGAGGACCTATTCACACTCCCCACTGGTTCGCACATCCCCACATTATGCTGGGAGTGTTGAGCCAAGTCTGCAGTTTGGTCCTCAATTCTCTTCATCTCACTTTTGCTCCGTAGATTCCGTCTTTTATCTGTTTGGCTAAGTGATTTAAATAGAGCACTAATACGCGGGGCCTTATGTTCTACTCTCTGCCTTAAGCCTTTGATAGCACGTATCCTCCAGCCTTATTGAGCAAGCCCCTAAAGTATGGATTTTCAAGCAACATGGAAACCTAACTTGACGCTGCAGATTTCCTTGTCACTGTGTGACATGTGTGGCTAATAAATATCGTCGTCAAGCCTTTACTTCATGGACTACGTCTATGAGCAAACTTATCTACTAAAAGCCAACTATCGAAGGTCGCCGTCGAATCTCTCGATCTTCTATCGCTAATGCCAAGTCTATAACTTTCTTGTGCTATAGTCTCTTGTATACTGACCCCCAAATGTGATAGTTCTACCTGACTTGAATAGGCTCACTTTAGACGTCTCGTCTTGGTTTCTGATTGTTCCTTTGTGATATTCTTGCGATTTCTTTCCCTAAAATTGAAAATATTATCTTGCTCTAGTCGTTCTCATTTTGTTGATCTTGCTGTTCTCTGATCTCCAAGTTTGTCTAGACAGAATGCAAAGTTTTCGCTAATCTTGCCTTCTTCAAGTCTCATGCTCACAAGAGTTCTTCCAGTCAGGATATCTATGGCTTTTCATATCCAGCGTTTTTTCATATTTTCACCATATTCAGCCAGCATTACTGTCGCTCTTGTGTCCCGTACGTACACTATGTTCGGCTATTTCGGATCTTTCAGTGTCCATGCTTCTACATAGCCTTTGGTGTTCCTTGATTCGTAGGCGGTTTTTTTACCTGTTGCACCAACATACTTTTGACCACAGTTGCTGCATTTGATGCTATAAAATCCCGAGCAATCCAACTTGTCAACCTTCTCGTGTTGTGTCAACAGGTTGGTGAAGAATGTTGTCTTTTCCTTTATTATTACCCTGATATTTAATTTTATTAGTAACGGTCGCAATTTCTGGCTCCGTTCACAGGAGGGAAGACATCCATTATTGCTCGTCTTCCAGATTCCTAATTTTATTTTCATAATATCTAAGTTGATATCTGCTCCTTATGGCCAATAGATTTGTCTCTATGAATTCTCTGGAATACCCGTTACTAGGATAAACCCGAGTCAGTTTATTTAATTCTTCGTCCCAGAACCCCATGTTTGTTAGTCTTAAGCTTCTGATGATCAAACTCCTCAGTATTCCGATCTTCACTCTGTAGTTGTAATGTGACTGGAAATTGAGGATTATTCCCGCATTCGCTATAACCCAATTAAGTGAACGACAAAGGTAGACAAAATAAAGTGATGATCAAATTAGTGATAAAAAAGCTGGAGATAGGTGTTAATGACGTTTATGCATTTTAATAAAAATAATTTTGCAGCATTTTAGTCCACAAATAGCAATAAAGGTTTCCCTCAAGGTCTCATATATTTCCTCCTATAAAGCCATGACCATTGTCTCACCTCACAAGTCAATGATGAGAATGTTATTACATTTAGTTGCCTGCTTATAAAGAATTTAAGTAATCTATACTTTATGCGTAACAATATAACGATGGACTGACCTGAGCATGCTTCACAGTTAGCATAGATATAAGACCAGCCAGACGCACGTGTCTGGGAAGGACAGAGAAGAACGCTGTAGGTCCCCGAGGCCCTTTACATTGACTTCCTCCATGCCATAAATGTGTACGCCGGTTTCCATGCCGAGCTCGGCCAGTGCCCTTCTGCGGCCATGGTTTGCGCTGACTACGGTAGGTCATCTCAGAACGACGAGTTATACAGCGCCAATCCTAAATAAATATATATTGCCGAAATAATACCATCGTCTTTATAAGATGATTAAGATGTTTCAACGAACCAAAATAATGCACAAATATATATTCTTTCCACCAAGCCTGTAATAGTATTGTAAAGGAACTCGGGGTAGAAATATAACCTCAACGAGAACACTCACAAATGCATAGGAGAAAATCGACTAGTAGACACACTGATTTATTTAATCTTTTAAAGTGAAACCTCAAAGGATATGAGTAAACAAGATATGCTAAAAGTACTGCCAAGAAATGGTATTCGAAGAGGTACACTTACCACTATCCGGTAATGAGCCTGCCAGTAGAGGTTTTTGTGGACTAGATCGAGCCGCGGAAAAGTGGCGAACACCTCAGGACTGAGGTCAACAAGTCCAAGAGGTAGGTTATGGTCAAGGGGTTTAGCTTTAGAATTTTCCTTATCACCATTATACAATTTAAGCGTTTCAATCCAAGCCTGCCGGGGTGCTCTGGGTTGAGAGGAGAGGAAGACAGAGGCAGTTGAGGAAATAGAAGGGATCAAAATAGGCGTATGAAGTGGCCCTTCATAGGAATTAGTCGCTTTAAGACCGGAAAGTTGAGACGAAGCCGATGCAGATTCACCCAAATCGTTCTCGAGGGAGTTGGATGATGAATATGCATAGCGATAATGGAGACTAATCGGCGAAGAGGAAACAATATTCCGGCAAAATATCGTTAGACGCCCTGCTAGTAGGAGCATGTAGACTGAATAAACATACAATTTGTTATGGTCAGGGGATTAACCTAAGCAGTGACGTCGACCAAAATATCCGAATAGGAATTAAAAATAATTAAGAAAAAATTATAATAAAAGAGATATCCCTCTCATGCTTAAGCCACAAAACTTAGATAATAATAAACTGTAAAGTGCTAAATTGTGTAAACCAAGCAGACACAGATAATTCTTAGCACGGTGAGTAGAGAAGAATGCGTATAAAAATTAGATTAATGCATTTTATAGGTAAGTCTAAAAAAAGCAAATTTGACATTTATATTTAAATGAATCACAACAAAAGTTTATTTATATTTAAACAAGAGACATGCTTCCCATTGGGTAAAGTGCATAATTATTTCCGGAGAAATAAACAGTTGTAATAACCGTATGTGCAACAATAGGCAAGCATAAGTGTACATTGATTAGACAATATAAAATCGATTAGAACCTGAAATCCGACAAAAAATAAATTACGATCACGAATAGGAGGAACAATATGGTGTATCTCTTGGTATGATCGAATCCACGCAGGATGAATATCATCCAACGGTGCCGTGAAGAGGCCTTATCAATCCAGTTGTGAGCTCGCACTACTAAATACTTTGTAGGACGTAAAGGCTGGCTTCTGGGTTTGGTCGGATATTGAACATGTCATTGTATGAAGGAATGGAGTTTGGTGGATGTAATGGCAGCTCAGATCCGACTGGTGAAGATGTTGTTGATTGAAAAGAGAGTGCACTTAAAAGCTCGAGCACGGAAGCCAAAATGAACTACGAATATAAAAGGTCTGCAGTCTAGATGAAAAAGCTGCTAGGGAAAAAACTTCAGCCTAAAATGGCCTCAAGTATCGAGATAAGGGAAGCGTAAAAGTTAAAAGAAAAATTACATTCTGGAGGAGAATAGATCCGGTATCACATAACGGGGCTAAGTTGATGTTGCGAGGGGAAGATAAGTAACTAAATCTTAATTTCAAAAAAGTTGAATTATTTCAGTCAATCTTTCAAGTGAAATTAATATAGATTCACTATCATGCTAAAAATAATGACGATATATACCCATGGGTAATGTTAAATGGTATGCAAATAATAGGAATTGAAATCATATTATTTGTTGATAAATAAATTGTTTCCTTGATTCAAATCTCACTGGGCAATGAAGTGGCCGTAGTGACTTTAATACATAGGGAATTTTATTTAAATAATTGGGAAAAGCATACATGATTAACGAATATAAACAAATAAGGATAAATGGAATATAATAAAAAGATAATTTTATTAAAGTGTTGCTTTTTCTTTGTTTTTGCAACTTGGTCAAGCAACAGGAAAACTTTTTAAAAGGGTACATTAAACCCTTTAAGCGATTACACTGTATAAAGTGTGCTTCAAGAATGAAGAACGAATTTTTAATTAATTTATCTGGAATAGGTTCTATAATTAATTCGATATGCAAATAAAATCACTCAATAAGGCAAATAAATTA